TGTATCATAAAAATGTGGCTTAAAACTTGATAAAATGTCAATTTATGAAACGTTATCTGAATAAAATGACAAATTTCTCTGGGTTTGTTCAAGTAAACAACTCAACAATATATATAACACAGGTCTAGTGTTTTCATGTGGAAATGTTACATATTTTATCTTTAAGTGGCAAAAAAAAACGTTATTGCAGGTTTACCAGAAACAATTATTAGATGAGAACATTGAAGGAATGGTTGGGATAATAAGGGTTTATTATGGTGAGTTAGATGATTCAGTGCTCTCTGTTCACACAGAAAGTGATGTTAAAGTGCCCTTCAGCAAGACACTTAATCCTTGATTGCTTCAGCAGAGCTGCTCTATGTTGGCATTATAGACTGCGGATAAGGAGGCTGCCAACCACTGTGAAGTTGATCAGCTTTCAGGGTTAAATGAGTCCTAAACACCCAATCCAAATTTAGACTTGTGCCACCACATCACTGCCATATATATTCCATCAGCAGTTAAAATTCAAGGATCTTACACCCAGAAGCATAAATAAAACAATGGGCTTTTCACTTCCACTGCTCTAATGTGAGTAACTGAAAGATCTGAACACCTGAGGCTTAAGAGAGGCAACCTATCCAATGTTGGTCAGTCTGGCTTATTCTGGATGGAGTTTTACTGCTGAGAGGGAAAAGAGGTTGTTCTTCAGTCTTAGGTTGCAGTTATTCACTATAGAGCAGTATCTGCACGGAACAATAGAACTTGATTGGGTCAAATCAGAACAATTCAAAGGTCCCTTTCCAGATAGACGGACCCAGATTTAAAAGTGCCCACTACAGGCATGCATTACCTATTTTGACCTTTATAGCTGGGCCATAGCACCTTATACATCCAATCATAAATCCAGTTGCATTGTTTTGTGTCTATAAGGCAGGCAGGTGTGCTTCCCGGTGATCCTTACAACCACATGGCTCTCAATACCTAGACAGCCTCTAGTCACATTTTTATAGCTAAAACAGCTGCAACATGTACACAGTCAGTAATCTAATACAATGTGTGTCTCGAAGGCTGCAAACACTGGCGAGGATAGGAGAATAAATATGATTTAAAATGCACAAACCTCGATCTTCATAACCCTTGGACAGGGTTAAAATAATCACATCTCTGATTTCATTAGTGCTGGCACAGAGGAAGGATGTTATTCAGCGGAGCAACCTCACCAGCTTGTTGAAACAACATCCTGCAAATCCCCTGTCTCGCTCCCTCTTTCTGTCATGAACTCTGATTCATCCTAGTTTCCTTTTCACCTTCTTCACCTCTCATCCAGCCTGCTGCCTCTTTTCTGTCTCTTTGTTCTGCTCAGGGATGTGCAGGGTGTACTGGCTCTTTGTCCTCTTTTTACTTTCGAAAAGTTCACTTCTAGGTAATTGAACACTGATGATTCCTATGAACAAAAATAATGAATAAAAAAGTAAAAATATTGCATTTAAAGACATCTTGAAACAACATTCTGAGACAGAAACAAAATATATGGGTGGGACTATATTGTGCCAACATCAGGATGAGGAATGGAAACACCCTTTCTCACAGTCTTTCCCCTTCATACTCACTCCCCCTCTCTGTGTCTTCCTCTTTGTGGCAATTTGCATTCAATGATGTCTTTATTTCCCATCATCCCCTGGCAGCTTCCTGTGCCAACCAAGCAGTCTGTGCCAACTTCCTGACCATGCCAATCCAATCACAGTAATCTCTCAAAGGGCGAGAGGCCAAAGAGCTGCAGCTGCGTTCCCATATATATTTATATGTATATGTACACTTAAGGATCCAAACTCCATTCTGTTTAAACCCATTTTAGCAGCCCAGATACAGTAAACAAAAACAACCCAAATATGTTTCCAAATGAAGTTTATATTTTATGTTATGAGAGATGGCTGAAATTCAACAACAATATTTTTTATCTGCAGGATGAATGTGCCCAGCTACAATACGGCTCAGGATTTAAATTTTAATCATATTGAAAACTCTGTACGTAGGTAGCCATGTGTAAGTAAACATTATTGATTATTTATTTCTGGTGTACATCTGGTTGCAGTTATTTTTGTGGCTCCCACATGCATTCTACACGGAGACTGCTACACAAAGACGAAGTACAATCGTATCTGAAAACAGTTTATTACTGAGGATTTTAAGATGAAGATTATGACACAACAGAGCAGCAGGACATGGTGCAGTAGGTTTATTTACATTTCACATAAGAGTCACCAGTTTAGTTTGTTAAATTGGCACGCAGCAGTTCTCAGAGTATGGTACGTAAAAACCACAGTCCCCTGTGTTCCTGCATACTACTACATTACAACAAATTAGAATCTCTAAACAAAAAGAGCTGTAAACTTCGATTAAAGTACATTTATTGATTTGGTAACAATTTATAATAAGGGTACAAGTCATATACTTATAAGTATTACTGAAATAATGCATGACTCATGATGATTTAATTAATTAATTAATGCAAGATTACTGGATGATGAAGTAACTTAATAATTTTTTAGTGGTGAAAAACAGGAATTCATGTACATCCTGCATTAATTAAGGCTTTAAACCATCATGAGTCATGCATTAGTTAAATACGACTTAAGTATATTACTTGTACTCTTATTATTAAGTATTACCAAAGATTTTATATAACAATGACACAGCACAGCTCACTCCATGGCACACCAGTGTGCCTCAACACACCTGCTGAGAACCTTTATGACAACACAGCACTAGAGGAACATCAGACAGTAATTTCTATTCTTGACATAACATTGCTCCCTCTCATATACAAATTTGCACCAACGAGATTCACACTTTATTCATAACAAATATATGAAAACATATTTTTTTATGTGTTTAAAATAGCTGTCAATATCCCACCCTGATCTTACACTAGGTTGAGAAAACAATAAAATGGTGCATATCCATCCTTTATATATATTCACTTATCCTGTTTAGGTCTCTGTACGTGTGTGTGTTGGTGGTATGTTTATGTAGGTCAACTAGCAAGGGCGATGAAGGATGGAGGGGTTGGCCTGAATCCAAAATCTCATCTCATTTGGGTATAACGTTTAAATAGTAATCAAATAATAGGACATTTGTTTGACAGATTATGTTGTAAAAGCATCCCGCTAGCTAACAGGGTATTTGGGCTCACTGCCCAGATAACTCGCACGCTTCAGCTCTTAATGGTATTTCTCAAGTTGTCTCATCTGTCACTCACGTTCCTTCATAAATAAACGCTCTCAGGTAATGAAAGAAGAACATTTATTATATGGGAATTTTGCTATTGTCAAAAGACTATGTTGAACAAAAATGGTGATCTGAGAAGAAAGTTGGTCATTCACTGAGATAAATGTACCCAGTGTCCTTCAGCTGGGTCATTTGTTCCATTTGAATCAGTATTCCAGTTGTCTGTCCTGCTGTTGTGTGCAGTTTGGGGGGTTTGAGACTCAACAGAGAGCCTGGAGGACTTGATATTCCTAATTAATATGAATTACATTTAATTCACATGTTTGGATCTGGGCTCAGCTGTACTGATCAGCCTCTTGTTGCTTCGTCTCTTGTCTTCACTGGATACGGAGACAAGCTGATAACACGTGTATCAGACTTAGAAAAAGCCATAACTATATAATATTTTGTTGGATGTCTTATGTATTATCTCAGTGCAGTTTTTATTTAATACAATTGGAGACCAGCCAGCCTCTGAAATCACTGTGACAGTTCAGTGTTTGCACACTATAATGAAATTTCAGATTACCCATATTTAGTTCATATTTAGTCTTTCCTTGTATTAGGTGCTTGCTAATGTTTAGGGCTTTTTTTAACAGGGCTTTCTTTTGAGGATGGTTGTGACAGCTTACAAGTAAAATTGATGTTGAAATGGAAGCTGTTACAGCTCTCCCTTGAGAAGTCTTATTATCTTATAGTCACATTTTCTGAAACTACCAACACTATAAAAGGTATTGTGTGCCTAAAAAGGACAAAGGACACAAATTTTCGGGAGAGATCTCGGCTGTTAAAGGAATTTGAATTTTGAATAAGTCTCACACAATTAAAACTCTCAGCATACTTGCCGCATAAATTAAAAAAAAGAAAATTCCCCAGCTTGCATGAACAAAGAGCATACTTGTGTGGGAAAAAAAAGTGACGTATTGGCTTCAGTCTGCACAGGCTGACAGGCCAAACTGTCAAATTCTTCATTATGCTGCATGGCCATCTGTAAATGCTCTGAAGTATCACATAACTGGTTGTTGTGCCCTTTGAGAAACAGTCTTAATGTCCTTTTCCAGCCTATGTTTAGCTCTCTGCGCTTCGTTCCCTTCAACATTAATAAGTCCTCACAAGTTTGCCTTCTGCACACTGTTGCTACAGTGAAGGCCTCCAGGTTGAACTTTAGCTGTCATGGATCTTAATATCTGTGGGGGATACATAATGTAAAGGTCAAACTAAACCAAACAACCCTTTAACATCCAAGTCAGTCTGCCCTGTCCTATATTAGTCTCTATTTACACATCAAGCCATTGTTATCTATAGAAATTCTTTATATAAATATATAATATATATATATTTGTATTTACATCTCTCTTCAAAAAAAGTCAGTAGTGCTGTGCAATCTATCCTATCAGAGTTAAATACAAATAAACAAACACATGAAGAGGTCAGTACAGGTAACAAAAAATGCATACTGTGCACCTGCAACTGTGATGAATCCACACTTTGTCTCACCAGCCGGTTCCACCCGAAAACAAAAACAATCAGAGTGGTTGACTTGTGCTTACAGAAAACTCCACATACTCAACTTCACCACAAAACATATGTGGTTGTCTCTCAGTCTTTTTGTCTCTGTCAGTCTAAGGGATCATCTCTCCACGATCAGCGGTGTTCCCATGGTGACAGCAGTAGGAGCAGCAGGGTCACCAGGGTCAAAGGTTCAACGGACAACCTGTTGGACGCTGAGCCTCGAACAGCCACCTGACGGAGAATATGCAATAAGATTCAAAGTTATATGAGAACGGACCAGGCAGTACAATCTACGGATGTGAAGGGAGGAGTAGCTGTGACCTATAGGTACAGGTATACCTTTGGAGGTGAGAGGTGATGAGGGGGGACGGGGCGACGAGAACGAGGAGGAGCCATGTCCTTCGTTGCTGGACTTCGGCCGCTGGATGTATCACCTGTGTCATCCCCTGAGAAAGACAGAAACAAAATATAATGATACAGTGTAGGAAACAGTACGTAACGCTGTAAGAACATAAAGTATAGCAGTGGTGCTGTACTACTTTATCAACGCCACCCTCCCGGTTTCAAATATGTTAATTTGAATGGATTTTAAACTGGATGTTTTTTAACACTATTAATAGACATTGTGATCCTGGAATAACCTACTTACACTTGGACTCTTTAAAAAAAAAAAAAACTTTTTTAATGCGATAATGTAGGTTTGATCAAGTTTGTGTTCATACTTCTACCACAGCTGGACTTTTCAACCATTTATCCATTGTTTTTAGCTATCAGTTTAGACTTTTCTGCTCATCTGCAAACTAGTTTTCAGACACTCTTAATCACAGCACGTGGTTCTAAAGGTTCAGTGTAGGATTTAGTGGCATCTAGCAGTTTGCAGAGTTGCAGATTGCATCTCACTCGCTTCAACCTTTAAAGCACGAAGGAGAAACTACGGTGGCTGTGAAACACACATTATGGGAACGGCCCTATCTAGAGCCAGTGTTTGGTTTGCCTGTTCTGGGCTACTGTAGAGACATGTCAACATCTGTAGATGAACACGTGTTATGAAAACACAATTTCTATATTCAGGTGATTATACACTAATGTCAACATACCTATGAATGCTATTAATATTAATATTGCATTTCTGCCAATAGATCATCCTCAATGTTAAACACTAGACCTTTAATCTGGTAGTTTATTGGTTATACTAAATTGTGTAATTTTGCTTGACTTCTCTTTATTTCTTTAAACAGTTTGTTCCTTTTAGTATATTTTATTTTCAGTCTGGTCCAGTATAATTTATCTACATTTTCCCTTTGCTTTTATTATTGTTGGTTGTATTTTTTCCTCTTGTGTGACACACTTTAAAGCTTTACAATGGAGATTTACAGCTTTACAGATCTATTATCCAAAATAAAGTATGTATTATAGGAATGACAATAATCTTGAACATGGGAAATACAGTACTTCATTAATCTAGTTTTACAAGCAATGAGGCCACATTTGAGTGACTTTAAGTGTCTGAAAAGATCAATTAAACGAACCAAAACAAGTTCAGGCCTTTGCAATCATTTTGAGAAATCTAGTTTAAAAATATCTCCATAAATAAACAAGTCCATAAATTTTACAGTCTGAGTCAAGATTTGTGGAAGTCATTTCTGGTTCTGTTTTTAGTCTCATGATTGCACAAAATCTTGCATTAGTTATGGCTGTTTTGTTGTTGTTCAGAACGGAAAGATTTATGAATTTCACCCCACCCACTCAGAGCTTTGCACAAATGTGAATACTGTTACCTTATACACACACACACACACAAACACAAACACTCAAACACAGATGTTTGAAATGTTGCTTCACTCAATGGGCATACAGCCGGACTTTCACAGCTGCTTTAACACTTTCAGATGCATGTATGTAGGTGTGAGTGTGTTGGCATTACTCCAGGCCCCTCATGGGAGAAACTCAGGTAAATGAGTGGATTAGGACAGCAGGGAGACAGATTGTGCTGCCAGCTAAACATGCACACACACACACACACACACACACACACACACACACACAAGCATATCAGCCAGAGACATTCTCATACTCACCTGTGCTGTCACAAAAAACACTCAGTCACAACATGCTCTGTCCTGGCACACACACACACACACACACCTGCTTGGGCAGAAATCTGATTCTGTCTCTTACAATACACATTGTCCTGCAGTACAATAGACAAAGAGCCTCTTTCAGTCGCTCTGGAATGAGGCGAGTTGGTAATGTTCACACACTCACACAAATATTAAATCTCATAATACAGACATGGAGAAAGCAGGAAAACACCCACATAAACATGCACACACAAAGCGTTAGAAATTCAAAACACACACATAGACACTCTCCTGCAAACAAATTTGAAAATCCGTATGAGAGATGCATGGTGTGTTTTTGTTTTTGACTGTCTGTGTTGATGATTCAGATGATTTACTCACAGCAGAATGTTTTCCAATTAGGAACGTCTCCTTTATTGTGTGCTCTCTTGACAAATAGCTGCACGGAGCAAAATGGGACCCTGGGCTCATGGCTGTGCAAAGTGTGTGTCTGTGGGTGTGTGGTCTGTTTTGTGCCCATCTGTTCTCATCAGAACTGAAAACCTTGTGTCACATCTGGAGTGAACCTGTTTGAGGAACTGCATCATATTATTATTGCTTTTCCACCACAAGAAGTATATTGTGACAAATTCATGTTTCAATTTCAGCCCAATAGCTGTTACTTGTGTCATCACTGTTCTTTAAAAAATTTAATTAAAAAAAAACTGACCTTCTTTTGCTCCTACAGTGAGCTAGTTTAGATGAAAAAAATGGTAAGTTAATTTGTTATGTCCCTTTAACTGGGCCAAAAAGGACATTTTCATTAATTGTTGACAATGAAGAGCATAAACAAGGTTACAGTGAAGGTAAATTAGGCAGTGAAATGATGATTTTAGAGGAATAATAAAGGAAAAATAGTGTTAGCAGTTTGATATGTGAAGGTATGATACATATTTTTGGTCACAAGATTAATAACATATTACTTTTTTAAGATATAAGCAAACTGATGTTGAAGAATGAAGATCTGGGTATGTGGTCTATAAATGAAAGCAGACAACAGTAAATGCAGTGATTGAATATATTAGACTATTATATTTACTCAAGTACTGTAGTTAAGTACAAATTTAAGCTACTTGTACTTGAGTATTACCTGCTACTTTACCACTCTACTTTAAAGGGAAATATTGTACTTTTTACTCCACTACATTTATCTGACAGCTACAGTTACTTTGTATATTGGTGGTTCAACATGGCAGACCTCATGGAAGATATAAACTGCTCACTCTAAGGTAAACTAATTATACACTAATTAAAACATTGTTTTCCATTTTTAATTTTATGATTAAAGCAGTAAATCCTTATATTTTGAAAGCTGGAGGCAGCAAATATTTGGCATTTTTGCTCAATAGATGATATTGATCAAAACTGTAATTCCAGCACGACAATAATCCAAAGTAAGATAAGGTTCATAATTAAACTGAATGTCTTAAATCAGTCACTCCAAGTTTGATATTGCAGCTTTGTGTGTGTGTGTGTGTGTGTGTGTTCTGATGCGGGTGGCAACACGCAGTCTCCTCCTACATGCCCTTCAGCATGTTTGTCTCTTAGCAACAATCCAGAACATGTCACATATGGCGGATTGGCTCGAAATAAGTGCATGCACACACACATACACACACATTGCCAGAGATGAGTGATGAACAATGTCATTGGTCATACTCATGTGGTAGTTTAACCTTTACTGCAATGAGTAATGAGTGAGTGTATGTTTGTGTGTTTTTGTGTGTGTGATAATAAGAATGCAGGAGTGAGATTTGAAGGATCCCGCCAGTGAGATGCATCGGTGAACTGCAGAGCCCGGGTCAGTACAACTGCAGATCAAAGTTTTTGCCTTCTTCATCCACGGCCAGCATATAAACAGCTTACGCTTCCATTCATGCACAGTTTGCATCCCCAGAGGAGTTAAACTGAATGGTTACCATGTATTGTAGCCGGCTAAAAACGAGAGCTGGTGAAAATATGTGATACATCATCCCCTCCTATACAAGCAAATAAATGTGTCCTCTTCACCAGTGACTTGTAATTTAGATACTTTTCCAAAATAATAAGATAAAAATGGAATTGGATTCAAGCAAAGCGTTTGCCCTGGGGTGACAGTAAGGGTCCCAAGCAGGTGGAGCAGGACCATAAATCAAAGCTGTGGTGACCCACAGGAAACTGACTGGCTGCCAGGGCCTAATGCATCTCTCTCTCTCAATCGATCTCTCATCTCATCTCCATCAATCATCATCAATCCATCATCGCTCCTAATTCTCCACACACACACGTCAACACAGACACAGTTTGGTGGGTTTGATGAGGATGTTTTTAGCCTAAGAGAGAAAGAAATGCCTAGTTGCAAAAGGAACATTGTAAATTATTGACATTATTCTGGCAACTGGCATAATTATTCACAGACTGTAACTAATTATGTGTTATGATGTCATGTGGAAAAAATAAATGATTGGACTAATAAACGGTTTCCAAAGCCAGACAAAATACCACAGATGAATACGAATAAAAACATTAAAACACAATATTTACACTGAATTCACTCGCTTGTTTCTCTAAAAATGCTCTTTGCACATGTACGTTACAGTAATTATTTATTCTCAGCCAAGAAAGCTTTAAAATCCTATGCTGAAGGTTAAATATGTTATTGTTTTATTGATTTACTGTTCACTGTGTACAGGAGCAAATGTGTACCTGCTGACAAACTCATGATTATTTTTAAAAAGGTTATTGTTTTATTTAATTTAGTAGGACTTCACTATTTTAAGTATAAATAAAACTTTGATTAGACTAAATAAATACATGTTCATCTGCGTCAAATATAAATGTCAGTATAGCTATACAAATAACAGCTATTGTTGAGAAGAAGCATCATGTCTTTGGTAAACATTTATTTGCCCAGTTTGAAAATAGACACATTTTAGCCAATGTAATGCTGGTGTATTTAACAGAACTGAGATTAAACATGTAATTATACCATTTCCATTGTTTTTTATTTGCTGTTTTTGTGTTATAAAAGCAACTGACCATCCTGCCAAAATCACAATTTTCACCTGTGCTTTAATCCGCTGTAATGTTCAGACTGCATGGTCCGTAACAAGCATTCCCAAAGCATCCATTCCAGAGAATCCAATACCCAGACCTCAGCATTACTGTGTTTAACTCTCTTTCATGCTTTCCCCCAGTCTGCCATCTGAAACAAAACCCAACTGACAACACAGCATCTTCCTAATAACAGCAGACAATATGTGCGCGTCCATAAACAGAGTGTGTGTCACTGAAAAATGTTAGCTATGCTTTGATCAGGCAGGTCTGTGTGTAAACCAGAACTAAAT